AAATGTGAAAAGAAAGTGTTTAGTAAAAGACGTAGTTAAACTGAAAGAAATAAATCGAAACAGCTTCTATTTGCATAGCGCGCTTCTGTCTGAAAAAAAGTATCACAGAGAGGTTAAATCTTACCTGATCGAGATGCTAAAAGTCTATTCGTCCTACTGGATCTAAATGTGTTCGTAACCGTTGAAAAAACGAACGATGAGATGTTGTTGTAATCGGGAAACATGAACGTTTGATCATCTTTTCTTTCACCTTGAATCAAATGTAATAAAATGAGCTTTCGCTTTCGTAAATGTATCGTTTATTGTTAAATCTGATCAGAAAGTAATATTAATGTTGAAAGAGATCTACTTCGAAGAGATATAAGTCCGAAGTTGATTTTTACCGCTGCATATAAGATCTCTCAATCGAGCTTTAGCAGAAATGGACAAAAAGAAGGCATATAATCATCATAGAGACATCGACTAAGTATGAATGAATTTGTTGATGCACAAAGAATTGTTTTACTGGCACATGCTCACTGTGTAACAATTCATAGAATGGCACTCTCTTGTTTCAGTTTTATTTTGAAGTATTGTCGATAAACTAATCCAATCCTTTTGTTCAACAGTAACCTAATCTATTTGATTGACAAAAAAACGAAAGACATCTATTCTATGTGATATGATTGATCACTCTATCTTTATTTTATTCCAAGTAAAGGTACAAATAAAAATAAATGTTTGGATTATGTTAAAATTGAAAAATAAATATCGAATACACCCACAAGTTTAGTTTTTTACCACTTGCTTCATTCGTTGTGTATGTCTTAATTGTGCATAGATCTTCGATGGATAGAAGACAAATCTCTTCGTATTATTTCATTAATCATGCTATATATACAGATATGTGATGCATGCCACTTACAAAGTCTTTTGGATACAAAACAGCAACAGTTGATTCAATTGTCGAAGCAGATGAGATTGGAGTAGCTGTTATTGTTGTTAACTGTTCAGAATATGTTCACATGATATTGGATAAACAGAGATGAGAGGGAGAGAGAATCTTACGAGTGTGTTGATCAAGAGGAGAAAGCCAAGACTTGATCTATTTCAGATAGTATTTGAAGTCTCACTTTTTCTCCCTTGGAAAATCCATTTTCAGTAATGATTTCTTTTAAAAGCTTACTTCATTTATTCTACTAAATCTTATCTTTTTTATGTCGAAACTGTTAACCTGTTCATTCGGCATTACCTTCTGCCAATAGTTATAGTCCTAATTCATGAAAAGGATTGACAGGCTTTTGTGGAACTCACATTATTTTTCGAAGAAAAATAGTGAGTGTAAGTTTTATATCCAGGATCTTTGGACCCCCCCCCCCCCCCCCCCCCCCCCCCCTGGGCCGCAAGCCGCTATTCCAGCTATACAGGTTAGCTGCTACGGGGTCACGGAGTACAACGGGGGCAGCGTTAGCCGCTACAGGGTCACAGGGTGCAAGGACGACAGGAGCTATACAGGCTCAGCCCTACAGGCGCTACACAGGGTGCAGGCACTGCAACGATTATTGTAACCGTATGTCCTATAGAAGTATTAGAAATGTAGAGAGTATTAGAGTTATGGAACATAGAAAAATGTTATCAGCGTGTTCAAATTTCTATTATTTACCATTCAAGTAAAAATATTTGCATTTCAAATGCAGATTCGTTATTTTCTGCTGTGCTGTTTGGACCTTACTCGGTATTATTTAACCCTTTGACTCCCGGAAACGTATATACACGTCCGACCATCTCTTATAAAAATCCAAGTTTTCGTAGAAAAAGCTGGATGTCAAAGGATAAAAAGACATGCCATTGGATAGAGCTTGATGAGATCTATCTTTCACGCCAACATTTAATCTTTGAACTCCAGACTTTTTCTGTAAAAACGCAAACTTTTACTGGAAATGTTTGCACACATATAGGTGTCACCGGGAGTGAAAGGGTTAAATTATGCGACAATGGCCCAGCGTGCACTTTGCTCAGAAAAATCTCGTCTTGTCTGGAATTCTAAATAATTCTCACATAATATTTTTATATTAAACTAAGGACAGTCAATTATATGTTTGTTTCTTCAGTTGAATCAACTGGTTATACCTTTTGTGACTACTAGAAATGCTACCAGCCTGAGAGTGATGATCTTAAAATGAGCTTACTCCCTAAGTATCCTATTCTAATCCACAATCTCGTTTTCCAAATACAAGTATGTGAGTTCCACATTTTAGCCCCAAAGGGGCTGCGCTGACAAGCTTTTTAATTGGAAAACATGGTGGTACAGACTATAGCTGTGAGAATAGGATATAGCCACTATGATTTCGTGCAACAGTGCAACTATGAATTCTCTGTATGAAGTCTAATATCGCTGAAGTACTTAACTAATATGATGTACGAATCAAAAGAAGCCTCCACTTGCTGCTAAGATTGATAACCGACATGATCATATCCTCTCCCTCATGTAAGATCATCATCATATTGTTTTCTTCTTCATTAGTTAGAAAGTGTTGCTCTGGCAGATCAGTGTTACCACCGATCTGCTCGATTTCGTCATCGCAACATGTATTTGATCAGAGTTGATCGTTTACCTCTTGGTAAGTTGTAATAAGCAACCTTCCCCTTCTTCTGAAAACCACGACATCTAGCCAGTCCTTACACTTTTTACTTTCTCTGTCACTTGTTTCGAAACTCGATGTGTAGAGACTCGAGAAATGGCGTTTTTTCACCATCGACGAGAAAAGTTGCTTATTACAACTTACCAAGAGGTAAATGATCTGACTAGATCAAATACATGTTGCGATGACGAAAACGAGCGGATCGGTGGCAACACTGATCTGCCAGAGCGACACTTTCTAATTAATCGAAAAATAGAAAAATATCAATGAACTCATTCACTATCGATATGATCGCCTGGACACTGCAGTGCCGTCGAGTTCGGACCACTCCCGTTCCTTCGAGAACGGGAATCATATTCCTGTCGTTTTCATATGATATTGAAGTGTTTTTGCTGCTTATCAAATCCATCGACTAGAACAGCTTGAAAAGGAGCATTTCAGTATCAATTAGCAAATGAAGAAGTTGCCTACCTTTAGCATCTCTAGTAATAAATTGATTGAAAAAAGCAGCACGCACTAGTTTCTGTCTTTCATTCTTAGGAAAAGAAGAGTGTACGATATAAATTATATAAAGTTCATGCACTCCAGACGCTCGGTCGGCCAGATATTAGCTTCTATGAAACTAAAACGAAATCAATGAATATTGTAAATTATTACTCCGTTTTGAACTTTACTGATATTCGTTATTTCACCACACGATGAATCTCGAAGATGACAGATGTTAGAAGAAACTTTACTTTACGCAGGATCAGCATACGCTAGTTAATCTTCTTTTTATTAATCTACTTGCACAATGAGTAAAAACGTTATATAAGCACTTGCGTTGAATGCGATGAATTAATAACATTGCACGTAAAATGTCTCTTTATTGATTCCTATTTGATCCGCAAGCTATGCTTTATGACCATAATTTTGAATCAAAGTGTTTTGATGATTTTACTGTCGCACATTTAAAAGCAAATATTTGACTTGTCTACTATTAATAAGCGATACATTGAGTAAAGCTATAAGAGACAAAAGAACGTTCTAATGGTTTATTATTTAATAAACCTTTTTCCACGTTTCTTCAGTCTTTCTCTAAGTAAAACTGACATTTTATCTTCTTCGATGAATAAAAAAGAAACATGAGAGTTGAACAATATTGGAATGGTTTTTTAAGAGAGCTGTTCTTAGTGTGAGCTTTTTTATTACCATAGTAACGAACGTCAATTAGGATGCTTGAATACATGGAAAAAAGGCATATTTGAAGAATGTAATATTCTAAATAAATTCAAATAATACTATTTTCTCTAGACCTGAGCACTGTTATTATCAGTCGAAACGATGATGACATCGAAGCAAAAAGTCAATGTTGTGCTTGATATACTCATTATCGTATTTGCGTCGTTGACAATCTTAGTGTCAGTTCTCATGACGTTCATCATATTATTTCGTCAATCGCCGACACGGTCCGATCGAATTGCTCATTTATTATGTATGAACATGTACATTAGTCTTTTTATCGGTTGTGCTTTTGGTTTAGAGATGTATTGTTATACACTTTACGGTCATCTACATCCTGGCGTTTCATTCGATGGCGATTGGTGCCATTACAAAGCTTACCTATTCTATGTTAGCGGCTGTAGTTTCTTCTACTCGTATCTCCTTCAAGCGGTCTATCGACTTTGTCGAATTGTATTCTATCGAAAGCAATTCCTACAATCGTCGGTCATATACTTCGTTGGAATCATTCTCCAATGGACGATGAGTTTTGCTCAAGTCATGCCTGTGTTTCTTTTCAAAACATCTGAATATCTTCCCAACGATTATCATTGTCAAATCGCATTACATAATATTCGAGGATTATTAATTGGCTTAGCATTGGTACATATGGTGCCCATTTCTCTAACCACAACTTGCTATATTTATACGGTTGTTCATATTCGTAGACATGCACAAGTGATGAAAAGCACCCGACGACGTGCCTGCGAACGCCGAGATCTTGTTGTCTTAACTCGAGTATTTTTACTATTGACTGCTATGATCGCATCAGGATTGCCGCAGTTGAGCATAAGTATCTTCTATCAAATCTATGGATATCTTCCATATTGGTCAACGCAATTTCAGTGGCTAACAGCAACATTTTCGGTCTTTTGTATATCTGTCATAATCATATTTGTGTCGCCGAATTTGCATACATTTTGGAAGAAATCGCCTTCATCGCAAAACGAAATTTACGACAGTTAATTCTTCTGGGCAATAATTAAGTAGCGACATCTGACACGCATTGTCTCGATTTGTATTTTTCAAGTATTCCATAGCCCAACAGAAGAAAAAATATTCGTCCTCCTGTTGTCTATCTTTTTCTTGTGAATATTTATTTATTTATTCCTAATTCAAATGACTTTTCCACAACTATTTTCTCACATCGATGGCATTGAAGCAATACTAATACGTGATAAGGATGGTGTACCTGTACTGAAACTACCGACCAATGAAGCTGTCGATCAACTGGATTTGCAAACGCTGATTCCATCAGCACACATCTTACAAGATCAAAGTTCACGAATGAATTTGAAACAACTGAAAACTGTTGTGACATACTGGTCAGCTCGTCAAATAATCACTTACAATGTTCCGCCGTTAGTAATTATCGTTGCAGCCGATACGAATGTAAATACAGGTGCATTGCTCAACTTATACAAGGATCTTCAGAGCATTGTGTCTGAGACTTTAACTCAACGCGCTTGACAATATTCTTTTTCTTAAATAAATTGACTAAAATACAATTTTAGTTTGGTGGTTTAACACGCGCAATCATTTGGTTCGAATCTGACTTTGTTTGAATGATGATATCCACAGGCCTGTACCGAACAGACATTCTTTGTGGAAATATAAATCTATTCTGACAAACGAAGTTCATGTCATTAATACTGAAGTTATTCATTTTTGTATGCCTATTGTCACAAGTAATTACTTCCATTTCTATGTCCATTCTCAAAGTTCTGAAATCTATGTTCTATTATGTATGTTAGTTGACAGCTGGACATCGCAATCGTGCTTTGTTACTCTTCTTTCACATCCGATTGACCTCATTATAAGTAGAATGAGCCATTGNAGCGATAATGATTGTCAATCTCCAGAGGGATGAAATGATCGATTTCTCTCTGTTTTAGCCTGTATCAATATCAACATTAAATCCAACAACGCTACCAACAGTTGTACACCAAGATGGGCAATTTTACTATGGTAATAATGATAATTATGTGAAATGATTTGTTTGAATTGATGAATTTCTAGCAGAAGGAGATATTTATGATGATCAAGATGGGCTGAGTGATGATTCAGCTGCATCAGCCGTTTCCGATCCAAATTTATATAATTTAACAACAAGCGGAAACAATGAAGGACATAGCGATCAAGTTGAAGACGGACATTCCTATGCAGATGATGATGATGATGGTGATGACACGGATGAACTTGTCTATGGAAATTCCATGTCCGTTCATCGTTCTGGATCGAAAAATGCTGTAACCGATCTAAACAAAGATAAAATCATTGTAAATCCGTCAACAATACGACCATCTTTCATCTCATCCGATGTATGGCAAGAACTATTCAATAAGCCAGCTATCGTTGTCGGTATGTGACAAGCATAGTTTTATTGCATTAAAGGAAAACCGATTTCTATCCTTGCCATTACAGGTGTCGTCGGTGGGATCGTCATCGGAATGCTATCCGCTATTCTTTTAATTATGTTCATTGTTTATCGAATGCGAAAGAAAGACGAAGGTTCATATGCTCTAGAAGAAGGACCAAGAAAATCACCGTCACATGCATATACACGCGTATCATCAAGAGAATTTTTTGCTTAAGTCTGATACCATTCTGCACGCATGAACTGTTTGCTCGAACGACAAACTCATCCCGCAGAATATTATTTTTCATTCTTTTTTTTTTGTCTTGTCAGAATTGTTTTATACGGTAAAAAATGGTTCATTCGCATGGAAGGATTCTCTCGTGCAAATGATCTGCAAAACATAATTGAATTTTCTTGGTATGATGCTCGAAAGAAACGAACTTTTATTGTCGACTTAATGGAAGAATCCTAAAGTTTAACATCAGGATATTCTGGATAGGAAATTTTGTGCACGACTTCTTGAAATTATATTACAAACCGGATGTTCACTTCTTGCCCTTCCGATAAAAGATATTACGCATAATTATCTTTTAGAAAAGGTATATTGAATCTTTCATAATCCACATTACCAGATTAGTTTACTGTTCGTCTCTGCATACGAACGTGGTCAACGGCAATGTTGCTAATAAAAGATCATTATTCATAAAACCATGGAATGTTAAAATCATGCACAGGCACTTATTGTTTCTAATTAAGCATAATAGCATTCAACTTCTATTGTTGATCTCTGACAGTTATCATGACATGAATAATAACCGATGTACTAGTTATAATCTACGGAAATAAGAGAAAAGCTTTTACATCGAGATCTATGAGCACATTACATTTCTGTCTGATTGCACTTTTTTCGCCAGCTGAAAAAGGAAAATTAACATTTATTAGAATCAGGGTTAACACATTGAAATGTTAAAATTGCTTTTATTAGGTTTAAATGAGTATAGCCGTTCGTTCCGCTAAGGAATATCGTATTAAGATGCTATTCGTTCTCGTTTCAATTTCCAGGGCTTGACCTTTGTAAAAAAATGATAAAAGAATGTGAAAGAATTTCACCATTCGCGTGATAAACCATTGCTACTTCTAATCATTCTAAGATCGAATATTTATTTGAAAATTCCAATGAATAACAAGTAAATTATCTGACATTAGTTGGCTGCTGAAGATGCCAATCGGATAACGATTTAGAATTGGTTGAATGCGATAGACGATGAAAAACGGAGAGATGAGGACGCTTCAGAAAGTTACTTGTTTTTTGAAGTGGAATAAAATTCTGTTGGCTGTCGTAGGATGTTCGACAGCTGACACTGGAATGCAATTTCGGAAAGAAACGAGGTGATGTGACATCACAGCTCAGAGATTTTCTCAATTGAACTTGATCCATAGCTGTTGCAGCGGATACACGCGATAAACTTATCGATGTACGTCGATATTGTTTGCGATGACATCTTAAAATCGATTCAAATGATCTAAAAAAAGCCAAAAGGAAAAAAATATTTGCTCAGTCGGCTTTTAACGACGTACCTTCGAAATTCTCGACTAGAAAATGCGTAAATAAATGGATTGAAGCATGAATTGCAATAACCTAACCAAAAACAAATGGAGAATATCAATCCCGGATCGTAATTTGTCAATGCTTCTGTAAAAAAAAAGAAAGCCACATAAATGACGAGCATCAACTCGATCTTTCATTCATTTACTTATTGGTAAAAGAAGAAAAAATGGTGACCAGCATAGGATAAACATTCCTACAACGATGCCCAGTGTTTTAGCTAGGAAAACGGATAGATATTTTCACTCAAGACAAAAGTTAAGTTTACTGATCTTTACCAGCTTTTCGCTCACGCATAAATTTCGATAATTTATTCGGACCATTGGGTGTCAGTAGTGTTGACAATCTTCGTCCATTCATGGCTAATGTTGAACTTGAGGAATGAATTGTATTCGATAGCGATGTCGTTGACGCTGACAAATGTTGTGGTATATGTATACGTAGAGTAACACATTCTTGTCCGTCAGTCTCTTTCAACCGAACTTTCTTCTCCCCGCCAGTAAGAAATGCATGTTGCCGAATAGCTTCATTGTAAATGCGTCCATAAACACAAAGAATAATAATTAAAGGTATATAAAATGAAAATGAACATGAAAAAAGAACGTAAGACAAATTATCGTTCACCAAACAAGCTTGATCGATTAGTTTCACTTCGTTATGCCAACCAAGAAAGGGAACGATAGACACTAGAATCGAAACTAGCCAAGCAATCAATATCGCAAACAATGTTCGACTATGTGTAATGATAATCGGATAACGTAATGGACGTGTTACACCAATATACCGTTCGATAGATATGAACATTAAACCGTAGATACTTGCTGTGCAGTAGAGAACATCAATAGCAAGCCAGATATGACAGAACGTTCGACCGAATAGCCATTTTCCTTCGAGAATTTCCAGAGTTGATGAAAAAGGTAAAACGGTGATACCTAAACAAAGAACAGAATTACTTTCTGTTTCTGGTTCATGATTCGGGAGTGATAGATTACCTAATAACAGGTCGGCACACGCCAGATTTCCCATTAGTAAATGTGTTGGTGAACGAAGTGCGAAGTCGAAGCATAGCGCAATTAGAACGAGAATATTTCCGACGATGGTTAATATGACAATAGTCGAAAGACAAATAGCGATTAGGATCGTGAGAAAAAATGGGCGATGTGACGAAGAGATCGTATCATTTGCTAGCATAACGAAAGATAAATTGTCGGTGGTGGATTGATTTCTTGATGTCGAGATGACAATTTGCTCGAGTTGAGGTATAATTTGCATGTGAACAATGCATATGGATCAGCAGAATGACGTCGTTGGATTCTTTGGCTTTCGATTAATCGATGTGATGTGTTCGCTAAGATTTCGAATAGAGATCTGGCTAATAAAGTTAACACTGAATCTAAATATATGAAGGAAGAGATCTAAGAAATGAATTTGTCGCTTTGTTTTCTCTTTGCGTCGTCGTCATTGAATCCGTTAGTCGACGAACCAAAATCGAAATGATTTCCGTTCAATAATTTCTATTGACTAGGTAAATTCGAACGAGGAAATGATGTACATAGGACAGAAATAGTCAGGGATCTAAATGATTTGCCTTAGCTTACAAAAGTAAGTTGTCGTCGGCGTTTTCTTTCTTTCTAGTATTGTTAAACGAGAGAAAAAGAATCAGAAGTAGAATTATTTATTAGGAACTTGTTCAGATGTGAAGGCCTTAAGTATATCCGGAATGTAGATGATGACGATTGTAAAATGTCATTTCTTCTTCTTTTTCTTTTTTACTTAGTCTCTCTTCATTTAGTTTGTCCTTCAACGTGCGTCTAATATGATCATGTTCTTTGTTCGGATGAATACATTTTCGAAGTATAAGCTCAATAAAAAAAAATGAAGAAAAGCGTAACAAGACTCATTGATGTCTAAATGGAGATTTTCTTTTTCAATCCAATGGCAAAAACAAGTCTTTCTTTCTCAATTGCGCGAATGCCTGTGCCACAAGTCTTCATACGTTAGAAAAATTCTTTTTCTTTTGCGTATTTCTTTTGAACAAACACTATTCGCAATATTCTCGTCAGTTCTAATCAATAAAAGCACACAAGATATGTTAGTCATTAAGAAAAACATAACAACCGATAGTATTACAAACAACTCCGAGAATGCAACAAAAAAAGTTAATAATGTTCCTCTTGATGTCAACGATACTGCGTCTTTCTTTTGTACTCCGCAGGAGAACTGATTGTTCGGATGGACTGAAAACAAAGAAATTAACTTTGACAGAATCGAATGCTTCTCTTCTGAACTATATTTGAAATGATCCGAAGTATCATGATTTCTCTACATCCTCACAAATATGACCTGAACGGGAGAGGGAAAACGTTTTCGAGTCTTGCAGTGCGTCGCATTTAAAGGAAATTGTCTCAAATGTCATTTTAGATTACAAGTGATTTATATCGAGAAAAAGCCTATTAATTACATATTTTACTTAGAAACTCATTTGTACTTTGCGTGATTTCAAAGGTAATCTAAGAAGAATAATTAATTCCTTCTCTCGACACCTCGGACTACAACTACATTCATTATGTGAAACAAACACAAAAACAGGAAAATGTTCGAGAACAGTGCGCTTAGTCTTTCAGGTCAGCGAGGAAATGAAACACTGACGACAACATTTCCCTTTCAAGTCAAATGTATCGTTTATATAAATACGAAAACATTAATTTCTAACACTATCGGAAAATAACATGCAAATTATCCATTATTCGATTTGTCAATAGTGGAAGAAAATGTCAGCAACTAAAACCTAATTTTTCTCAGAAAGGTTTAGTGGGCGATGGAAGATGTAGCATAAAACGTTTATTTTAAGTAATAATGTATTGTTCTATATATACATCTGCAATGTTAAAAACACTGCGGAGGCATACGAATAGAGTTAACGGCCTTTGTTCTTGATCATAAAGGAATATTTAATATTCAGATTCGACAGAATAAAAATGTTGTTTTAGTAGCAACGATCAATAATCTATTCGAACGCCGGAAGGTATTGAAATACTTGTCGTTGGAAAAATAGATGTCTACAATACCAATAATCAAGTTACAATAAATCACTTAGATTGGAAAAGTCAGTTTTTAAAGTGCGATTGATTGCCGGACGAGATGCGTCGTAGAATCGAATTCTGATCGCGCAACATAAGGTGAAAACAATTGAGAATGAGTCGATCTAGAGTGAAGGGAGAGAAAAAAATTCGTTCGTCTCTTTTGTTTATTTATTCACAAACAACCATGAAGAAAGAAAACGATTTGAGGAATGAGAAAATCGCGTCTATTTACGGCAAAGTCGCTTTTGACGTTGTTGTTTGGGTAAATACTAGAAGAAGAATAACGAGCAGAGTCAGATGATTTCGATCGATTTCTTACCATGTCATTCGGATATTCATTGCTTGTCAGTACAACTAATCCTAAATGAATGTCTGGCACTGTTGAATCTGATGAATGTTCTTGTGTTGAATGTTGTTTCAAAGCTGATCTTACTAACAGAGAATTGTTAGTTTTCACATATCGTCCACAGTGAAAAATGTATTTCTTAATCGCCTCAAGCTGATCAAGTTCAATCAATTCATATTCACTTGCAACGGGTATACTCGTTTTTTTTAATACATCGTTCGTTCTAGTGACGTAATCCTCAAATTCCTGTGCACCATTTAATAAGATTGCATAGTTTTTTGTAAGCAAGAGTATGTCTAGCATTGCCTTGTGCATTTGAACATTTTCTGGTTCATATTTCCATCGAAGTCTATATTCTTCCATCTGATTCTTTTGTTCGTTTTCAACAGTCAGGATTTGATTTAATAAATCCTGTTCATGTTCATCGATAGCCTGGCGTAAACACGACATCGTATTCTGAATTTGTTTGCGATAGGAGTCAGCTATATTACCATATTCATTTATACATTCAATGGCTTTATTCAGTTTCTCATCAACTAACATTTGAACATTGTTTAAATTATTTGTGATCTAAAGCGGAACAATCCGACGTTTCGGTGAATAATTCTGCACTACTCACCTTGAGTTCCAATTCTTGAACCATTTTCGGTATTAAATTGTATTGATGTGCTTTATGTTCGAGCAATATGCAGTCGGTGCAAAGCAATTGCGAACAAGTCAGACACCAGTATTTGACTTTCTCATCTCGATGTGAAGTACAGAAGTTGACCTTTAGTGCTGTTTCATTCGCAGACATTTGTTGGTGCTTTTGCATTACAGGTGGGTTATGAACAGTTTGATAACATTTGGAGCAGAACGTTTCATTTTCGCATTTATCGCATCGATACTCACTTGCAGCGGAATGACAGTTCGAGCATTCGATTGGATTTTGACGAGAACCTGAAGTTGATTAGTAGGACTTTGTCTGAGCCGAATAAAACTTCGTACGTACCGTTAATGTCAATCAAATGACGTATAATTCGATTGACTGGTAAGCTTTCGATTACATTTTTTGGAAGGGTAAATCCTTCGTGCAATGGACATTCAAATTGATCCTTATTGACCAATGCAGTTTCCTCTAAGCATTTACGACAGTAGGTATGTGAGCAAGGCAATATCCGAGGATCATCATAGACTTTATGACATATACAACAGATAATCGAATCTTCAATTTTGTCTTGATTTCCCGCTGCCATGTTGGAACTAATCCGATGTACACAAATCTAGAATGAAAAACCGTGTGTAAAGTGTCGTCCAACAATAGTTATAAATAAGAAGGAATTATTTTTCCTTATATATGTATTAGAAGCAACTAGTTAGTTTACGTATGATATTTCACCTTTTCTTGTTAGGAATCATGGCAAACAATTCTTAGTGAAAGTCATTTAACAGAGGATATAAGAGTCGGAATCATGAAAAAGGACATTTAGACTCCATGGTTATTCATATCCGATTACAAGCGATAATGAAGTTTAATCAACCTACTAGGAATAAAGAGCGCATCGAATATCACCATATGCCCGATGAAGCTATACTTACTGTAATTCGGAAAAGTGATTCAATACTTAATACTAGGTAATTATTTCAAACGATTTTTCCGGTTATGACGGGTGTACAACTTTTGCCTGCTGTTTAGTATAGAAATGTAGCGGAATGTTTACGTCATGTGTAAAACGGCAACAAAAGGAGTAAAGAGAAAAATTATTTAAAAAAGTTGATTTTATTACACGCCGTAAGTGCTTTGTTTCATTTAAAAAGAAGAAAAAACTTCTTGTTCATTACAACAAGAAAGATTCATATCCTTTCCTAAATTGAGACACTTCTTTCCAAGAAGTATATAGCTGAGTTTGAATGCATCCGATATGCAGTTAATTTTCAATGAACGTCAGAACACAAGCGATATCTGACATAGCAGTTCTCGTTCATATTTCACAAATTCTTTTCTTTTTAGAGTTTTCTCCTTAGCGTTCCAGTAATAGTTTATTTTCTACAAATACTTCAGTCTTGAAATGAATGTTCTTTTTTGAATGAGGAAACGATGATGTTTTCATAATTAGATCAAAATAATCATGAACAAAGAAGAAGAAAAACGTGATTTATATTTGTCCTCTTTATAGGATCTCTCAGTCGACACAGTGAGGTGAATATCGATAATTACTAGCGTGAACGCATATTATACACAACATCAGCTAGTGCAATAAGCGTCTTAATTACCTCCACAGAACCCAAGAGAGAATACATATAACAAAAAACAAGCCCGATAGGTAATACATTGTGACTGTGAAACTCATTTTTTTTGTAGTTGTATGAGTATTTGATGCTTATATTTTCAATACAACCATGGAGTATACGTATGTTTTTCTCGCTGTATTGAGTTTATCAAAGCTATATTTTTACAATAATTGATATTTTACTAGCACTCGCAATGTGTTATTTCTAATAAACTGTTTTAAGAAATGTACTTCATCTCTCTACGATTCATCACTTATGAATTGCAATGTCTAACAGCAGGTAGTACTTATGAATCCATTCATATAATGACAAATTTACTCTTATGGCAAAGTAATACAGGTAAATAAAACTCCAGGAGACGACCTACTCAATGGATTCCTACACCGTTGTCTTCATCAACATGATACTGAACATTCTCTGGTGTTATTGATCGCGTCTTGTCTCAGCACTTAGTGACATACGAGATTATTCAACCAAAATTTCGCACTCTCACTTACAGTGAGATACATACTTGAATAAAAGTCCATGGTCTTTTTTGTTAACGACATCTATCGTTCATATTTGCTTTTATTATTGAGGCTATATTCGAAGAAGAATGGTTGTTGTCATATGGTAATAAAATGAATAAATGATTTAATAAGACCGACCATTTTTCTTATTCTTTTGTTTTTATTTTATTCAACATTAGATTCGACGATATTTTTTGTTTCTTGTTAATCACCTGAGTTTAGCAATTATTCGCAGTTGTCTTGGAAAATGTCGAATTAGTTTTAAAACGACATTTGAAAAAGCATTTGTCAAAAAGCAATCAAATCTAAACGTCACTTTCTTGTTATTATTCAATTTTTTGTATATCAAAAACAAATGGGTGGATGTGTAAGTCATGATCAAGACAATCATCGACGACGATCGCATTCATCCAGAAGTAGTGCAACAAGTAAGAATCAAAGTATCTCACGAATAGAAACCATCTGCTACTTGTCGATGTTGTTTAGCAAGCGGAACTACTGCACGAAACAAGCCATTGAATCGGTCAGCTTGCCGTCCAAAATGGAAATCAGATGTCCCAATAACCGAGAGTCAATTACGTCGTAAACGAGAAGAGTATTGGGACACGGGTAAGTGTTTCGCTAACGATTGATTCGTTTCTTATTTGCTTCATCTGACTGTCTATGTTGACACAGGATTTATATGGACAGTTATAAAACACTTTTACGACAGAGGACAGCTGCTGTTTTTTTTTTTGTAAAGTTGAGCATGACGAACGTAATAATTTAATTAATTGTCTAGCGTAATGACAGATCTATCGAAACAGTCACATCTAGGCAAGTTAGTTATGCTTTTTTTTAACTTTCACGATGTATACGAAGCATTCCGAGAAACTAAAATCATTCTATTTTCTTTTGGTACAACTCACCTTTTTGCCAAGCGTTCGAGTTTTCGAGTGCGTTGCCTTCTTTTGCACATTGAACAAATATTGACTCAAAACTAATTGACTTTTTTGATGGATGATTTTAGCTCCAGCTTTCGAAGGTCGAAAAGAAATTTGGGACGCTCTTCGTGGTGCGTGTTTTGCTGTAGAACAGAGCGACATTGATTTAGCTCAGTCAAGTGTGTATAAATACTTGCTCGTTTTTTTCCCAACCAGTACTTTCTCATTGTCCTAGTTATCAATTGTGCAAATATTTCCTTGCCACATGGCACACTGCTGGATTGCTATGACGAGCTGGGCACTCGTTACCAAATACCGGTGTATATCTTATCAGCACCAATAAACTTAGTCGATGGTGAGCAATCATCAATTAATGAGAATGAATCCGGTGCAAGCGAAATCGATCTGGCTGCTACAGCCGTTGCTGATCGTGAACGTGACTTTCGTGACAATCAAAGTACACCAACCCTAAGTCAACATCGTACATCAAGTAAATCACCGTCAGGAAGTGTTCACAATCCAATTGTTCGTGAAATCAAAAAGCATCGACGAAAACAAAAGTCACACGTTGACTCGAGTGGGAATGAATCATCGTCAACAAATACACCGACACCACCAGTACTTGCCAATCAACAACAAACAAACAATGACCAAGATGTGGAAATTCCGCTCAAATTTCGTCTATCGAATGGTCGTGAACATCGCCTTTATTGCAAATCAAATGAGAAAATTCGAAATATCAAAAAAAGATTAGCTCTGTTAGAGAACGGAACGATTGATTCACAAACACAACGGCTATTTTTCGGTGGAAAATTATTACGTAAGTCTAGTTTTATCTATTTACCCACTGTTTCCCAAAACGACTTTCTTACAGGCGATCGAACAACTATCGGTGAAACTCGTCTACAACGTAGTTTCGTTGTACAGGTCATATTACAAGATCCTCCTCTGCCACCTAATGGTGCAATAACGACAACTAGTCATTTAATGACTACCAAAGATCATGTATTGTATTCTACACCGGTAGAATATCCTGATGATTCAGTGATGGAGTAAATCTAAGCGGAAAAAACAGAGAATTCTAACAATCAGACGCCTATTATTCTGTCCATTTTTAACTCTCTATATGCTTTTCATACAAAATTTTTATTTTTTGACGTTTTACTTTTTTTTCTTTAAATGTTGTCAGCTATTGCACAAAATCTTCTTTTCATCCTATTGTTATTCTCATTATCCTCTGCATCTTCTTGTCGCCTTCGCTCAACCAATCAACTCTTATCAATGTATCAATGTTGTACTTTATTGTTCGAAAAGAGAAGGAAAATAAGAAGCATTTGGTCTTGATTAAATCAATCAATGTTCTTTTTATTTTAGATCGATATTATCATTCTTTTTCTTCCTCCTATTTTATTTTATTTTCGTTCACTTCTTTCCCTTCTTCAATAATAATAATCAAAACGGCAAATAATGTCTGATCTCTCAGATCTCGATCGACAACTGGAACAATTACGACGATGTGAATTAATCAAAGAGCACGAAGTGAAAATGCTTTGTACCAAAGCAAGAGAAATCCTAGTGGAAGAAAGTAATGTTCAATGTGTTGATTCGCCGGTGACTATATGCGGAGATATTCATGGACAAATGTTCGATCTTTTGGAATTGTTTCGTGTCGGAGGTAACTGTGAACGGCATGATTGACTTTGTCAGAAGTCTTTGACATAGTTTATGAAGACTTGATAGATGGGAGTAGAGATAATTGAAGAAAAGTCAGTTAGTTTTCTTTTGTTTTGTCAACGCTTCGAATCGAATAGTTTTAACCAATGGAAAGACAGACATAGCAAATAAACTGATTTTGTTTTTTTTTCATGAATTGAAGCCTTCCAGTGCTCGATTTTTTTTCTCTAGAAATCATTGCAAGTTTTTTGTTTTAGGTGATGTCCCACAAACAAATTATCTATTTCTGGGAGATTTTGTTGATCGTGGATTCTACAGTGTAGAAACATTCCTGTTGTTACTGGCACTCAAAGTACGGTACCCCGACCGTATAACTCTGATACGAGGCAATCATGAATCCCGTCAGATTACTCAGGTCTATGGTTTTTATGATGAATGCTTAAGAAAATACGGTTCCATTATGGTTTGGCGTTACTGTACCGAGGTTTTCGATTATTTGAGTTTATCAGCTGTGATTGATGGAAAAATCTTCTGTGTGCATGGTGGACTCAGTCCATCGATTCATACCCTTGATCAAATCAGGCAAATTGATCGTAAAATGGAAGTCCCGCACGATGGGCCGATGTGTGATCTTCTATGGTAAGTTAACTGATTTGAGAAACAATCAATCTCTAATGATGCATAGGTCGGATCCCGAAGAAACACACGGTTGGGGTGTAAGTCCTCGAGGGGCTGGCTATCTCTTTGGCAGTGATGTTGTATCACAATTTAATCAAACAAATAACATTGATTTAATTTGCCGTGCCCATCAGCTTGTCATGGAAGGTTACAAATGGCATTTCAATGAAACAGTGTTAACAGTATGGTCAGCGCCAAATTATTGTTATCGCTGTGGAAATGTGGCTGCTATACTTGAACTTGATGAACATTTGAATCGAAGTTTTACAATATTCGAAGCTGCACCACAAGATCAACGTTCTGCTGCAACAAAACGTGTTGTGCCCGATTATTTTCTTTGAAAAAAATAATAACAAATGATGTTAATCTATATGTATGTGATGATAATGTGTGTGTGTGTGTATGTGTCTTTTTTCTTTCCTTGTATGATCGGATGTTCCAATGAACATAAAAAACAGAAGACACAGAGAATATGATGTCTATAAATGAACAAATTTATGTCTTGTTTTCTTTTCTTTTTTTCATATACAAGAAGGAAAGGATTCACTCATTCTTCCCTCTCTCTACTATTCATCTCTTAACTGATTTATGACATATTTCTCATGAGAATTGAGTAAATTTGTCACACTACATTCTCTCAGACAATGATTATAAGGATACAATGAGAAGTAGAACGGAAGCATCTTGTTTCCTCTTCCTTTTGCCCCTCATGACCAACATCGATTTACAGCAAGTAGCTCAAGTTATCTCCGTATACAGATTTACTCTCTATCACGTTATTTCTCTTATACCCTATAGCATTATTCTATAATAGTCATACACAAACACGTACATACGGAAAGAGGAAGAGATAATCCTACTAGAACGAGTTATTCAGAAGTGAGCTTAAATATTCATACCAGTAAATCTCACGTCGATGCTTATCGGATGTTCTATAATTTAAAATGATTCAATCTAATATGTAATCATATTCCACTCATTATCAGCACCTCCAATTATCGACGAATGTCGTTAGCTTGCTGAGAAAACCTCAAACGACTACCAATGGTTTTTTCTATTTCAGATGCGCGAACAATGAATTCACTTTCAATACGTGATCTTTGTTCCCTCTTCTGTTGTCCACCATTACCATCCTATATTGCTGCTAAACTCGGTAAGTAAAACAAGACTTGGGATAAGAAATTATTTCTAACTACTGCTGTTTCTAGCATTCCTTCCGCCAGACGCAACGTATTCCTTGATAGTTACTGATAATTCTACAACAGCAAATGGTAATAGTGATCAGTCAACAGTTCCAACAATCACAAAAAAGTCGCCAGCTGAATCTTCACTAAACTTACGATATACAATTCATTTTTCTGAAAAAGCTGAGTGGCAACATTCACCTACTGAAATAACGAAAATAGAGCCTTATTTTGTCACTACCTCACGGCGAAATCAAATTGCTTGTATATACGTTAAATGTACAGCAAATCCTAAGTATTATATTTTATTCAGTCACGGAAATGCTGTAGATCTTGGTAAAAGAAAACCCAGACTATTCAGACTCTATGTTCACCTTTCCTTGTTTTGTATAGGCCAAATGTCTAGTTTTTTCATTGTTTTGGGCGCACGTTTACAATGTAATATATTCAGTTACGATTATTCCGGTTATGGAGCTTCACAAGGTAAAGCAAGTGAGAAGAACATGTATGCCGACATTGAAGCAGCGTACAATTCAATCAAACAGCGATATCAGATCCCTTCATCGAAAATCATTCTCTATGGACAAAGTATCGGTAAGAGATTTCGCATAATTTTATCTGAAGAAAAAGATCAATTATTGTTCTCGTAGGAACTGTTCCAACAATTGATTTAGCGTCGCGTATAAATGATTGTTGTGTTGCATGTGTATTACATAGTCCATTAACATCAGGTATGCGTGTCGCATTTCCTGAAACCAAACGAACATGGTGCTGTGATGCATTTCCGTCAATCGATAAAATCCATCGAATACATACAATTGTTTTGATTATACATGGCACAGAAGATGACGTCATCGACGTTAGCCATGGATTTGCCTTGTACAATCGGATTCAGATTCAACATCAAGCCGAACCCTTGTGGCTCGATGGTGCCGGACACAACGATATCGAAGTAATGACAAACTCGCATTTTCCTTCAATTGTCAAAATATGTTCTCGTTTCAGGCGCACGGTCAATACGTTGAACGCTTATTACGATTAATCGATGTTGACATTCCACAAACATATTTAAAAAAGCAACAAACTGAACAACCAGCATCAGCATCGACGCCGACGGTATTAGCATCAACACTTATTATTCCATCATCGTCGACAACTAACGGAACGAATTGATTATTTTGGAAAATCCAGCAGTTCAATTGTTATGTCTTGCTTGTCAGTCTTCATACGTACGAAATCGATGCGTGCAATGTGATATACACTATTCGTGCGGTATTCCTTCTTTCTCTTCGTTTTTGTTTCAAAACAAGACTGCGCAAACATTGTTGTACTACATCGATCATAGAAGTTTAACAAATCTCGTTGATTTATTTATCTAACATATTTTCTTTTGTATAACTTTAAATGAAAACTTAGAAGCAAACAATAAACATGTGAATGTCAAAACATTTTTTCGTGATAATCATTCCATTATTGTATGAATATCGACTCGGTTCGCCGTGCGTATAATTATCTTATCTTCTTGGAATTGCGCCATTCTATGTACCGGAAGTCTGTATTGATAGCATTTCTTTTGCCAATTGGAGTCAATGGCAATAATCTTATCGTTCGATGGGGAGAAAATTAGCCAATTAGTATTGAGTATTTTTGGTTTCAAATAAACTATTCTATAATCGTGTTTTAAATTGATCGAGGGAAGGAGAATTTTCTTTAAACATATGAAATTTTCCAATTCTCGTAATTCCATTCGCCATTGTTCTGTCAGATGATTGCATATTGTAATTGCTAAGTTATTCTCGACCGATGTCATGCTTCCAATGAATTCATTGGAAGTTAAATTTAATGGATAATTTCTGATCAATTTCCAACATATATTATCATCTGTTGATGTTCGCTCCCATCGTTCGATGAATTCTGCTTCCCATTCATCATATGCAATTAATAATGTTGATTGATTACTGTCTGTCGTAAAACATTTGAAAAGTTGATTATCTGTTGGTTTGATGTCTAGCAGTGGTTTGACTGATTGTACTCTGAAGTCATACATCAAGATACTCGTTGAGGTAAGTAGAAGGACTTTTTGTAAATCGTCATACCATAGACAATCAATGATGGTTTCATGGATTGAGCAAGGTGCAAAAATGTGTTGAAAATGTTGATCAATAAGGACGGCCTGCTTTTGTTTTTTGGTAGTATTATCGGTAAATATATAATTGGTAGAAGTCGCTAACACTGGTGCAGACGAAGAAAACGGAATCTTGGCTGTACTGTTTAGATATGAGAGTTTACTTTCATTCATTAGTATCTAAACTTAGTTATAACTCAAAAAATGTTATATATCTGTTGAAAATGAATGGTTAGCTCATATGGCCGTATGTAAGTATAAAATACCCAGTTTGTATTTCATGAGAGAAGAGAAAGAAATATGAGCAACAATCTTTTCTTTGATTAGTCATGTCTAGACATTATTGCAACAGAAAAGACTTTGTCTTCATCATGAGTTTCTTGTGAAAGTACAAAACTCATTTTATTCCAATTTCAGTGGCGCAGTTGAGAAAAAAAATATCATCTCAGATCGTACTCAAGCTGATAGAACTGTTTACAGTAATCGTCGTTCTCAATTTCTCTCACATACATTACTAATATATCATAACTGCCATCTGGATAATAACATTTGAGTAGAATAAGAATTCTGTAATTTATAGATTATCATACACAAATAAGTATCGGCAACAGCGATGTACTCAAAGACTTTGTTTATAGTCATTTGTTTCCTCACAATACTTTGTGTTGAGTTAAATTATGGTGCACCGACCAAGAAACCAACAGTGAAAACTACTACCAAAGCACCAAAGACTACTATTGAAGCTAAGTATGATAAGCTTGTCATGTGTGCCTAATCCGACTTCATTTCGCGTTGTTTTTCAGACCTAAGCTGCTAGGAGCACATACACCTTGGGATAAGAATATCAAAGCAAAACATAAGAAAATATTTGACGACGTAAGTACAAATTCTCATGACGATAGTATAGACGAATTCCGGATGATCTGTTTAGTATAAAAAAGTGATCTCGATGAAACTACAACAAACTCACAATGTATCGAAGGCATTCAATCCTAAACCAGAGAAATTCGCCACACAAGCCGTTGGTGGGATCAATTATTTATACTTAGTTAAACTGCCAATTAACAAGTATACAGTTGTGTCTGTTCACGATGTCATATGGAAGAAGGATCATTATGGAAAAGAAGAAAATGTTCGCGTACGCCCACAGACATATGAGTTAAACGATAAAAATATTTGATTCGGGTTTTATTTCAAAATTAGAAATAGATCTACGGTGTATTTTTCTTTTTGCATAATCAATAAAATCATTTAGCTGATGATTTCGATGTAGATGAACAAAAAAATCTGCGCATTTGTTCGCATGAGCTATTGACACAACCGGGACAACGAAGAGATAGCTGAGTCGTATGATGACGTTGACTTTCCATGTGTTTCAGTACAATATCTGCCATGGCCTAAAGATAGACATGTATTTTGAATGCATATGAAAATCTCAACTTACTTTGATAAAAAGAGGACTATCGTTTAACGATGCACAGCGACGAATCATTTCTACACCAGCCTAAATACCGAAGGAACAATGATTACTACTGAGAAAAATCGAAATTCACTTACGTTTGCTGCAAGATGTTGACTATATTCAATGTCGAGTTCATGTAATGTTTCGATATGGTCACCTAATGGTATTGTTTGTCACGCGAATGTCGAGATTGAGTCGAAAACTCACTTGTGAATGCGATAGGTACAAGAAGTATATGACGTCGGTTATTTTTAGCTAAACCTGTAATAGCATCATCAGTGGCACAACCAAGCCAAGCACTAGGTCCAACCTAGATTGTAAATATTAGAAAGAATGGAATATCTATCTGCACGAAGAGAATTTACTTTTGATTGCCAGACCAATCGGTAGGGGTTTGAGAAGTTTAATGATTCCATAACCGCTTGAACAGTAGCTGCAACTTCAGCTGGATATGGATCACCGCGGTTAACTACCTAAAGAATCGCTAAAATTCTGTTATTTAGATATGCGTTAATCTTAATTACTTTCATTGGTAACGAATGTGCTGAAAATAAAATCACTACGTTATTTCGAACGTGCGCAGGAAATTTTTTCAACTCATCACGAATATTCTCTACAAATGCCTAAAAGAACATTTTCGCCATATTTTTCTTCGAATAATTCGTTTTTCGTACTTGAATAAAACCTGGGTGTGTTTGCCAACGATCAATTACACTCCATTTCAGATCTTCCACAGGTTGGGCATCATTGGGTTCGTCAAAATACGAAATCTTATTCGCTTTTTCCAATCTTAATCTCTTCTCTTTCGTTGCATAGTATCTCGCTATTGCATTTAAACTACTACCCGTTGTTGAACAACTATATTGAGGATATTGTGTAAATGCAATAACACGTTTTGGACGATCTCTAAGAAGACAATCATAGACATGACTCGAGTTCTTTCATACCAGGCATACTTTTCTATTTCATCGAGCGCCATCTCCGTCAATGGTTTAACATAACGAAAACCAATGTAATACTTATGCGGAGCTAAATATAAAGAATCAGATTGAGATTTTGCAACAGATTCATGTTTACCTGTGGATGGAGACAGCTGATCGAGAAGTTTAACCATACCTTGCCCTTGTTTTTCTGTCCACATTTTTATTGGTGATCCGCCACCAATCTTACCGTACTGTTCTTGGATGCTCGGCGTTCGACGACGAGCAATCCAGGGTCCTAGTGTTCTAAAAAAGAGAACGTCCACAACCATTTTGATCTACTATTTCAATCTTTTTATACTTTTGGGCAGGCAACGGAATAATATCTTTATCGGAGAAGAGGCGGTTCAGAAAATCATAGACATCATCGATGGTTTCAGGTCCACCCATGTTAAGTAGAAGTATTCCAGTATTAACCTCATTTTGCGATCGTCCCTCCGAAGGCGAGCTTGTTGTTGTATTACTTATTGAACGAACAGATGATTGAAGTAGTCTACTCGTAATACCTAATGGTAAACGAACTTTCAACGCTGTTAAGAACATTAATCTGAAATAAAATTGGAGAATTTCTATAGATTAACTCGTGGTATATCTGTTTTAGTTTTGATCATTCGTTGTATCACTGTCAAATGAATATTACGTCTTAACTACAAATGTCGACACTGAAATGTAAATAAAATTCGATAAAACATCGACTATTTATGAACTAGGCAACTCACCATCGACCCCACTCATCAAGATTCAACTTGAACTCAATCGATTGTTTATCTTTGGTTTTTTCATTGAGAACTTCAACTTGAATATCTTTGTTTGGTGTTGGTACGGATTGAAAGAGAACATATTTGTCCGCATGAAATGCATCGAATCGGGCATCTTCAATAGAACTCCTTTGGTGTTTCGTCGTATGCAGAATAAGGCCACTGATAATCAGTATCGATTGTTTTTGTGCGAGGCGATTCAAGCGATATGTCAATTGAAGAACTTTGCTTTTAATTCGTCGATCGAGATGTAAATAAGGTTGGATTAAAGAGAAGAGATCATCGATGATGAAGATTTGTATTTCTTGTTGGTTATTTTCCATAAAATTCAAATGATTTTCGAATGCTTCCAAAGTCCGACATGGTTGAAAATAAAACGATTGGTCGAATAAATCATTCCGTTGCGCACAAATCTTTTCGTGTGATGCACAGTAATGATGATAGAAATAATTCAAATCGAATAAACTCGGATTGGTATTTAAGTATTGAACTTTAATTGGCTGATTGGTAATGAACAAACGAAGTAAGAAGAAATTAAAGAAATCATTCCATTGCTTTTGCTGAAAATGTTCATAGATGAAAACTAAATGACGAGTAGATCGCAAAAGATGCGTTTGATCAAACACAAACGAATTCACTCGGTAAAAATGCACAGCTTTCAATCGACGAGCTTCGAGTTGAGCGGTATGAGCAAGAACGCACGAATGAATACATTCGATAGTTTTGTCGATTTTATCGGGAGATTTATTTAACCATAAAAGAAATTGATTAGTAGTATGAATCGAATACTGTTCGATGAAATCTTTCAGGCAGTCCGTGGTTAAATGCGGACAGTCGATGGAGCCTAGTGAGATTGACATGAGACTATCAATCTATAAACAGATGTAAGTGAGAATAAGCATTGAAAATCCTGTCTATTCGAAAAAAACCTTTCTTTTAGGATTCGAACAAAGAACGATTTGTTTATTTTTTCCGTTTTTCATGAACATCAAACAAACAAGATCAGACTTTCTAAAGTCTATAAATAAGAGTTATTATAAAATGAAAACAAAATGGCAATCAAGCTTCATCTCCAACGAATGAGTATATTGCTAAGTTATTCAGCTTTTGGTTTGGCTGAGTCATCACGATGATAGAGAACAATGAAGCTGAGCAGAAAAGCACCAACCATCATGGAAAATGAGGAGATATAATATGGATATGCCGACGTAATGAATCGTTCGTACTCCGTATGACGTAATGGATGAACAGAAACCTGTAAATAGATGTTTTCTTTTCTTTCATATTGACTTATCAATCTTACTTGTGTTGCTGAATATAGATTTGTGTAACCAATACGATTGTAATCAATGATAAACTTGTAAATTCCATAAGTATCAGGCACGCGGAAGTTGGCTTCGAGTTGTCCACCTGAATAATCGATGACAGGATGGAAATGTTTTAGAAACAAATTCTTTCTACCTTTATTTTTCATTGTGGTCCGAACGAATGGATCAATGCGGACGAATTCCAATTGAACATCAGTGCCATTGAAAGGCATCCATTTATCATAAACGAATTCATCGAAATGAACATTGAATACCTACGAAAAAGAAGCATTCAGTAATCGAATCTTTCGCTTCGGCACTTCGATTTACAATATCATTTCGAATTGTATAATAACTTGGTGTTGTCTTATCACTTTTTAAATAATGACGAATATTTCTTGCTCGAAGAACACCACGTTGCTTGAAAACCCAATCAGTCAAAGCTAAAGCTAGTTCTTCATTACCGGATTTCACTGATCTAGATCAAGAAAATCAAAACGACTTCCTCCGAAGTTCTCTTATCGATCTACTTTTTGTCAGTATTTGATTGCACGGAATTTTGAAAGAAATCATTGCTAAAGAAATCCAGTGAACCAACAAAACCAACACGAGCATTGTTTCGTGCTTGGAGAACTGATATCAATAACGTTCGTTTGCCAACGGTTGCTGGGTACTAAAAGATATCAATTGAATGGAGCTGTGCGGTGGTGAGAATGCAATGCTTACGTCAGTTAATGTTTGTTCATCGGGATTAGCCGTGTACGAGGTTGATGAACCGGTTAAGACATCGAGTAATAGTGGATTTTCAGGATCGGATGACATTCTTTAACAGAGACAAAGCATGTTGTAATCTATCTGAGGAAGTTGAAATAGGTTTACCCAATGCCTCGAAACAAGAATGGCAAACCAGCTCGTTTCGATTGACCAGTGATTAGTTCAGCTCCGAGAAGATTATCAGGACTAGCAATAATGAGTGTATGCTAGAATCGATTGAAAGTCATCTTCACTACATCTAAACCTCTGATTTTACTTGTCCGTTATCATGAATATCATAATTAAGATGATCGATAACTGCATTCTTATCATCAGCAAATTCAATACCGCATTCGCCAGCAAATTCACGAACAGCATCACCTAGAACGTGATTTCTTCCTTTTATGTCAACACTTTCCTCATAATATAAGATCTCACCGATCGTATTGCTACCGACAACAAGAACATTGCCACCTGCATCAATAAACTGTGTTAAAACTTCTGCATCCAAATGACCACCGAACTCTTCAAAAGAGAAATAGTTTTTCAATAGAATACTCAATAATGTTATTACCTTTCGTGCCCGGAGCGAAGAGAATGATATGATCATAGATATATTCACCGTATTTGACGATCTGTAGGCTACTATCATCTGATGATCTGTAGGTTAATTCAAATCCACGGTCTAAACAAGCGAAATTCTCGTCAATAGCTAACAAAAAAGAGATCATGAATGACAATCGTCAGATTGAATGAATCAATACATTCCAATCAAAGATATTCAGAATGTGAACAGCTATATAAAATGAATTCATCATTTGATTGCCAGTATGTAGAATCGAACAAAATCTCTCTTCATTATCCCACTGAACTGAATTTATCTATTTCTATTCGCCTACCTTTCAATTGTTTGAAATAGAACGAATGCGATTCTCTAATCGCCAAATTGTCCAGCAATACTAACGCACGTTTCGATGAACCTTCGATATTCAGTGCTGCTGACCAATGAACTGCTAGGAGCAGCAATGCAAAACAAACAAAAGGCCAACGAGTCATGAATCAAATCTGTGAAAAGATGATTTAGAAAGTGAATATCGTCGATGGTAAGTCCAATATTTATCAAGCAGACATGGCCACATTCGTCTCAACATTGCATTGGTCTATTCGATAGACAAACAACAAGCATTGTAGATGTCACATAGAACAAAATTAAAAATCTTTTCACTTCAAAGCTCATAAAAGCATTCAAAATACTTCTTTATTAGTTCTCTCTTTTGCTTGAACTCGAGACGATCATTCCGCTCTTTGAAAATCTTCGTTCCGTGCACATGAACGCTCTCGTTATTCTATTTCTTTTCCACCGACTACGACAACACACACTTTAAGTGGAGTACAAGAGAGAACTTCCATAAGTGACTTCCCTTTTCTATGATATTTCCGATATGTGTTCGATCGAACTCATTTCCATTTTTCAAGACACAGTACTCAGGTGAATGCATTTATAGAGCATGTTTTTTAAGAAAATAAATAAAAACACTAAACAAAATACACGTACAACTGATACGCAACTCAACATAGCTTTCGATGGTAATAGTCATGCTAGCGGCATATTATCTAATGGACATTGAGTAGAAAATTCTTTGAGATACGTTTCAATGCAATTGAGATGGAACATATGTTTGCATGGTAATATTTTTAATTTTTGTCCAAGTAGATAAGTTTCCATACAAATTGTGCATTGCTCATTCAAATGTGTGTCGTCGACGTTGACTGTTTGAAGGTTGTTTAGAACATTTTTATCTACAGTTTTACGTTGTACACGTTCGTCAAGTCGTAATAACATTTCATAGTCATTCGGTGAACTAAAACGAATGAAGAAAAAAAGTATTGAAACGAAATGAAGTCGAGTTTATCATACAGATCACGATTTTGCATATCGAGAAGAAACGCAATCATGGCATCGTCGAATGCAGGCTCGTTGGGAATGTTATTTTCATGGATGGTATATTCGCGGAATTGATTTGAAGGATGAACAACAGGTGCGACTGGCTTCGTTTTGTTCGGATCGTTTCGTTCGTAACGGTCAGGTTTGATCGTTTCTATAGACCGCGGTGGAGGCGAAGAGAGAAAATGATATGATGGTGGATCTAACTGAACGCGTTTGAACAATCGATGATGCATATATAATTGTTTATTGTGCGAATTGTATCGAATTGATTTAGCATGCTTAGTTTTGATCTGACATTGTGCTTTGAGTTTCTTATCCGAACGTTTCGAACGTTGATACGGCGTTTGGTCCATTTTATCGAATTGAGTCATTTGTTTACTGTTTAGATGTTTCCCAAGATAGATTTCATCATTTTCATCATCAGAGGATTCTAGGAAATCTTTGGCTTCATCATCGGGCCAATCAAATTGAGCATAATAATCATCGTCGTCGTCAACAATCTCATTTGAACTAGAACAGAAAAGAGAGTGTTCCCGTGAAATATTCAGATAAGTTCCCAGTTAATCTACTTCTGATCGTTTACAGTTTCCGATGGGTCTGATGAACGTGAAGCAATAATATCTTCATCAGAAACAGTTGCATGACTGCTATTGCTACTTAATTGATCATAATGAGGCTTTATATCTGCAGTTGCTGACATCCAATCCGCACAATCTTTCACATTAACTAATGGATAAATAGGAACTACATTTATTTCACTATGCATAACCAGCCTCGCATATATCTTCGATGTTATGATGCGTTTTCACGAAAAACGCAACTATTATATAGAATGACGAAATGTTCTTGCATAATTTTGGCAAGATAAAACATAATATTTGTCATGAGGTTGAATTTGTTGGTTGGATAGAAAGGAAAAAAAATTTGAGCTGGCTGACGTCATGCCGTTGAGTCACAAAGTATCAACATCGATTTCCTTTTAAAAAAAATCGAATATGTTTTGCTTTCTGTGTCCGAATCAAAATTAAAAGGTGAGAAAAAGAAAATCGATTGAAGCCAATTTTGTTTATTCGAATGAACTGCTCGGCAGACTTCAAAATAGCAGAAAGGAAAATAAACGATATGTACACGGAAAAAGTGTAAAGATTGTTCGAAGTAAATGTCAATCTTGAACATGAATTTGTTATTATAACGAAAAAGAAAATAAATATATGTATGTATTCACTATCAAAACATAAAGATCACTGAATGACATTACGGTGTAGAAGAAGTCGGTGTCGTCGTCGGGATGACTAAGTATTGAGCAAGTAATGGACTTGTATTACAATAATAAGGTGGGGGAGTTTGATGATGATATGGTACACGATACAATGAATGAGTTGATGGTCGAATGAATTGTCTGGGTTGTTGTTGTGGAGAGAGTTGCGGTGGAATTGGATGATTTTGAACATCGCAATCCATTTCATCTTCGTCATCAACATTATTACATAATCCTTCAGAAGATGACGACGAAGATGAGGACTTATTTTGTGATCTGGACGAGACGAAAGGATTCAATTGATGTTCTTCTCGAATGATCTGGAGACCAAGAGAACTCGTCGGTGATGGGACAGCTGAAAAGAAAAAGCGAATGATCATTAGTCGTTGAAGTGAGCACTTTTAGAAAACTCTCGTACCTGATGCCCGTCGACTGAGCGGTGAACTTGTATTGTTACTCATAGGATACTAAAATATGAATGAGAAATGTGACTCAATTCGTTCGATGGATCAGCTTTATGTGTTACCTTTTGCACTTGTTTTTGAAGCTTATGCAATTCTTGTAAACTAGATGTTGTAACGTCATCATCATCACTCAATTTTGATCCGACTGCATTGTGATATAAACGTTCGAGATACACTTTGGTTGTACTATTGATCAGATTTGAAGTTGTATCACTGGCGCGACGCGACAATGGACTACGATCTTTGACAGCTTCGCGTGGACTACGACGAACTTTACCACCGAGTATCAAGCCTTGTTCACATACTGTATGACGTTTGCCAAGATTAAGATATCTAGAAACACATAAGTAAATGTTAATGAATTCATATTCTTTCCTCTCTGATAACAAACCGTGCAAGTCTTTCATCATCATCTTCTTCATCATTCTCTTCAGTTTCATCAGGTGTAATGGAAAATATAGGTGGAGTAATTGGCGCCCCACGTGTTATACTGCCACGCGATGATCTCTAAAATACCGGTGTAAAAATAAAATTGTGATACTATGTACTTTTTCTTCAATATCACAACGTACATTCGATACTGGAGATTGTAATTGTGTCGGTCGGATAGCACTGATCGGATTAGAACCAGTAACATCATGCTGCTGTTGAAATAGAAGTAAATGAGCTCCACTGTCACTAGCTCGCCGGTTGATATCTATGGGGAGAAAAAGTAGGAGTTATGTGACAAAGCCTCTCATTTACATCAAAGCAAGACGCATTGAAGAAAAAGTACGTTTCCGGTCGGATGTTTTTATGTTACCGAGGTCTGCTTTTGAGTTCTTTACTTTCATTATTAAAACGTCACTTCAAACTTGAAACGATCATGACAAAAACTTAGTTCCAGATGAACGTTCCTGAAAGCACGACATTTGTCATGTAACGTCAATAATGTAGTATGTTTGTTCCTGATACAATGAATATTTCATCCTGACTTTGTCCCATCGGCAGGAATTTTCTGGTTTTTGTTTAATTCTACAAGGCGTCTGCATTATATATCTCGATGTTCGTGAAATATTTTGTTCCCAGGGACATGACATTGCTGTTTGAAGCTCCTGAATAACTTACTGAAGGTATGGGAAACTGGTGGTGACAACCATTGATTGGGTTTTTGTGGTTGATTATGAATATCTGAAACAGCCGTCATCGGTGGTTGCACTGATAAACCATTGTAGCTTGTTGAATGAGGATTTCGTTGGTGATATAATGGATATTGTAATTGGGAATAGTAATGATCTGCGTCATCATTGTCAGAAGTCGGTGGTGCGTTATACTGTTGTTGCAACTCGTAAAGTCGATTTGTTAATAGGGCGGGCTCAACACTGTTCAACTGATGAACAAATCGTAAGTCTGGTGTGAGGGTCGGAGGCACTTTGTTGTTGTAGAGAGGTAAAGCTGGTCGACCAATAGTATGTCGCCGTAAACCGTGTAGCTGTACATATTGATTACGGACTTGTTCATCTTGATCTTCATCATCGGAATACGTTTCAAGATCGTCAATATGTTCATCGACATCACACGAACGAATGGATCCATTCTAGATATAAAAAACACATATTCATTCAAGAGATAGTTCTTATGTTTTGTTTTTCATTACAGTATTTGGTGGGCAATAATTCAAACTTGATTTATCTGTTTCGATAGTTGTCGGAATTGGAGGGTCTACAACAAAGAGAAGGCAGAGGTGTTGTTTCAAGCTCGAGAAAGAAATTCATTTACTATTAATTTGACACGTTTGTTGAAACTTTTCTAGTAATAAATGCCATATGGCTGCATCACTATCGTAGGAATTTCCGCTGACAGATTTCAATATTTGGGTTCGATTGTATCCAAGTGATTCTGCGTGATCTAGGATCGCATTTGTTAATTGATTATCTGGTATCGATTGTGTTGGAGATGTTAAATGGGATATATCTGAATGGTTTAAACTTAGCCACGGATGATTTTTAATATCATTTATTGAATAACGTTGAGCAGGATCAACTGTCAACATATGACTAATTAAAGAGTTGCAATCTGAAACAAAACAAAAATCATGAAAGTGCATTAGAGCAAGTCTTATTGAAGAACGAGAGATTTACCTTGACTGATATAGAAAGGCAAACGAAACTGCCCAACGAGGACACGCTTTCGTAGTTCAGCAAGATTATTACTATCGAACGGTAAGTGGCCGCAAACGAATATGTAGAGAAGAACACCAAGAGCCTAAAATGAATTCTGCGTAACTACAGAGGAGTCCTCTCGAATCAACCTTACCCAAACATCAACTTTTTCCGGAGAGTATGGAAGACATTGGAATAGTTCTGGAGCAGCATAACTAAAAGAACAAATCGATGAAAACCCAACTCATTCGAATCGATCAGAATTCATTCATACGGTGGTGAACCACAAAACGTTTGTAGTTTTGCATTTGGTTTGAAAGTGTTGGCAAAACCAAAATCTACAATAAAAGTAGTTTAATTAAATATCATATTAGTACACTTGTTCTCATCCTCCTAGTTCACACAGATGAAAACAATTCAATTTCTGCTTAGAACCGTTTTCATACCACTGTTTTTGCCTTTTGCACCGTCGTATGACTTTTATATTACCGCTAACATTTTCACCGTCGTGATATTTAATTTCCTCGCCCTTTAGTCCAAAAGAATTATATGACAGCAAAGAAGCAAAAAAGTCAGACATCACTCATTTTTCAGTGTAATTCTACTAAAACAGTTTTGTAGTTATATTACCTGCTACTTTAATATTTCCATGACTATCCAATAATAAATTTTCCGCTTTTAAATCTCCTAAAGTCAAATACCAAAGAGTAATGAAAAACGCATGATAAACACGTTATATCACAACATACGATGAACCTGCGATGAAAGAAAGAAAGAAACAGAAGAGATTAGACAAAGGCATATGATGAAGATTTATATTAAGATACGTACAATATTTCTTGAGTGAATATATTCAACAGCCAAAACAAGTTGTCGGAATTTTTCTTTGGCTTTCGCTTCAGTCAACCGTTTTTCTCGACGAAGTAAATCTGACATTTTCAAACAAACGCAAATTCCTTTTAGTTTTTCTTTTTTCATATAACAAAGAACGTAGCTTACCTAACAGCTCACCATTTGCTGCATATTCTGTTACCAGATAGATGAGATTTTTCGATTCCATGACCTATAAAAATGTGTTAGAAAAAGGACAAGAGTTGCAAATCGTCTACATACTTCGTAGAGACGGATTATGTATGGATGTACTAGTGATTTCATCACAGCGATCTCGCGTTCGAGCTTTTGATGATCAGTCGATTCCAAACGTGACTTATCAATGATTTTAATTGCTACCTGAAGAGAATGAAAGGCAAAAGTTTTGTTTGATAAGATCCGTGTTTTCTTACTTTTTGATGTGTGTCACAATGTGTCGCTAGTTTGACAACGGCAAAGTTACCTTTGCCGATCGTTCTTTCAAGGAAATACTTTCCTATTTTCATCTGTCGATTGGATTGACATGAGGAAAATAAGCCAGAACGTTGATTATTTGTTGAGGTTATCGTCGATCGACGCGAAGTCGCTATTGATGATAGTGGTGACGCCGATACGGACGATGTTGGAGAACTGAGAATGGAGAGTTCTGACGGGATGGGAAGAGGAGCTGTGGATAATGGTGACTCGCTAAACATCTAAAGCAGAGAAATCTAACGTAGAATGTACGTAAAAGAGGTTTCCGACGCCATTATATGTCATTCTTCTGTCGTTTAATCTCATGCGAACTAACGATGCGTTGTAAACAATAAAGAATGAAAAGTTTATTTACAAGAAAGAAAAAAAGAAGAAGACCGAACGAAAGAAAAAAAAATCTACTGTTACTTTTGTCATATAATGAAAAAAATTTGTGTATATGTTTGTTTGCGCATAATTTTCAAGTATACGTGCATATACTTGTGCTGAAAAGGCAAATCAAAAGAAAAGGAGCAAAGAAATGAGACGAAAGGCGTAGAAAGAGAAAAGGAAAATGAGTAAAATCTTTTTTCCCGTCTCTCGTTTCAATGTGGTTTAACGAAGAACAGTTCTTGAAAAAATATTTTCTCGCCATTCTTTCTCAACTTGTCAAGGCAAAGCTAGTCAGAGAAAAACATCGACAAGAAGATCTAACAGGATCAAATATCATTTAGAAAACAAGCCGGTGCGTACGACACACCTACGCCCAACTCGTACTCATTATCAGTGCTTTCGCCCTTTATAAGCTTCACTACATCTCATTTAGTTATTTAAAATAAACAAAATCTTATCAATGTTTTCGTCTGTAACCTTTTGACAACAGTGAAGCGTGTTGCTTAGCGAATGACAAAGTCATTTCAAATGACTTTTCAATATTCAAACACAGAAATTCTTCACTGATGAAGAGAAAAAATAAGGGTGATCTCGGAATTGTTAATAGTACGAATATTGCGGATATCAGAAGAACTTTCGTACCCAAAGAGCGAAAAGAAATATGTACCTACTAATAAGTTCGCTTCCGCTCCTAAGATCTTTGTTTTTCATTAATCTTGCGTGTAATATCCGAACAGTGTAATTATATATTAAAGTGATTATGTTAAAAACCTGAGAAAAAATTCAGCGATAGCATGAACAGTTTACTCATTTCGGTATATTATCAAGGGAGAATATGTGAAATAGTCGTTAGTTTCTATCGACTGGAAAAGCCTATCTAACAAACTAGTTGAAGAGTTCATTCAACATGAAACGCAACGAATGTCTCGGGTTATATGAAAAAGAATCAAGCATCAACTACACTTTTATAGTTTCTTTTCATTTTCGCGCATAGAACAAGTGCTTGTGAAAAAAACATCCCATTCTTTTGAAATCAACTGATGGGATTTGCCTTTTACCTACCTGTTTCTTTCAACTAACACCGAGCGCAAGAAGATTTGTCAATGGAAGATCATTCAGTTTGTTTGCACTGAGAGTACTAGAAAAGAAAATAAGGTCAATATATATTTTTCGATATTTTTTTTTCTTTTTTTCTTTCTCTTTTCCTGTTTCATCTCCGACTGTTTGTTGTGTTCGGTTCTTTTCTTCTTTTTCTCCCTCTCTCCTTCTCCGTTTTTTGCAATGTATGCACGCAAGCACGCATACGAACAGAAGCACCATATTTCCGAACGGCACAAAGGAATGATGATGATGATGCTGATGAAAAGCTTTGCAAAGAACAGACAATAAGATGCGACTAAGCAAGGAAATAGAGAGCGCAAAAGAGAAACTGGGGGTGTTGACACGCGCAACTATTTCAAAGAACTTCTCGGAGACAATCAGGAAAAAACAACATGCATAAATTGCACTGACAAGTCTTGACATCATTGCTATTACTAAATTAAAAACAAACTTGGAAAAATCTCATCAGATTTCTTGACAAAAAACATGAATGTTGAGAACACCTTATGAATCAAACAGACTCTCACCGGTGAAATAAGTAGCATTGCTCAGTGAATAATCACCAGAGATTGGATGGCCAAACTTCTCACGTATTCAATGTAATTAGTTTTAGCTGCTCACCGGGATTTGCTTAATGTTATCAAAAAGAACGACATCAATAAAAGATTGCATCCAAATTAGATCGGATTTTTTCACGAGATAATTTTCAAGAATGTTGTCAACAACGGCACCTACTAATTATCCTCTCTGTAATGACGTATTTTTTTCCTGGGATGTTGCACTACTTTCGTTGTATACGTTGATTATCGTCCTAACATAAGCCTAGTCTGTATCTGCTTGTGTAAGTTTATACCTTCATGTAGTTGACATGCAACCAGTAAACAAATTCGTTTAATTGGACTTGATACTCGCGTATCATCGAGTTCGTCCTTCGTTCTTGCGAGTATGGATACGATAATTTCAATACGCACTGCTTCCCTCGATGTACAGATTATATGTCATGACAGTGATAACAATAATTTTCTCCTTTCATTCGAGTGCGTCAAATATGTTGATCTCTCGTATTTCGATCGAATAGTTTTGTCTTTGTTTTTTCATTGAAGAGAATACAAGAACGATTGCGTTTAGCTTTTAATCTGACAACAAGCAAAAAAAAAGAAGAAGAAGACGAGACAGAGAAAGAGAGAAAAGACATTTTATCGTAATGCTTTGTCTTATGGCGATATTTGATATTCTTGAAATGGTTGAATACGATATTGAACAAGTGATTCCAGAAACCTAGAAGAAAGAAACGAGAAGAGTTGAAAATCTTGTATTGTCTGTCGCTGTTCACATTTACCATTCCGGAGTGAGAAAATGAATACCGGATTGAATACATTTTTCATACATTTCACGTCGATTCATAAGATATTCTTTTTCACACAGAACAATACGAGTAATACCTGGTTGTAAGCGAGAAAAATGAGAATCAGTTGTATGTTTAGCACCAGATAATTGAACTAATTCAATTAATTCTTCATTATTCATCATTTCTTGACATCCATTACATTTTAACATAATAGAAAAATTTTCTAATAAAAGATTTTTCGGTAAACTATCTGGTAAAATACTCTGTCGACTTCGTTGCATGCCTACAAAACAGACGAAAATCACCTTTTCTTCTCGTAGCAAAACACGAGCATCGACAAACCATTATGATCGGACGAAAGCGTGAGATCACCTTGAATTTCGAACGGTTTTTCGTTAACAATCTTGTTGGCTTCTAGACAAGCATCAATCCATCGATATGTGACAATGTACATATGGCGAGCAACTGATTGAATAACTTTTTTCGATAAAGGACAGACGAGTGTTTCACCTTCTTCTTCATCAGTTATTAAGTGTGTCGTCGTTTCATCAACAACATTACACAATTCAATTTGAAATCTTGAGCAGAAATCTTTAACGCGTACCTAAACATAAATGAAGCCATAAACCTGACAAAGTTCTTCCTGCTGTTATCACATTCCTTGTCTCTGGAATTTTTTTTATACACGAAAAAATAATCTTTTTCTTATCATTCTCACACTGGTATTAACTCAACAGGCACGCAATTCTTGTAGTCGCCTATTTACGTTGATAACAAGTGTACTCCATAGATGTTCTCGAATAATGGGTTCCTATCTTATTCATGATAATTAATGTAGAAATTAGTTTCTAGCCACTCAACCTGTTTATAATTAAATTCTGCTACAAAGCAGACTCTAGGGTGTAGAGTAACAGATTCATGCCTACCATTTGATCATCATCTAGACAGGTTGTTGTAATGATAATATCTTTTTCTCGTTCATCTTCATCTTCGGTTTTAATTCCATTTAATAGCAAATGATGACTACTGTTTCCTTTTACATTATCTGTTGCTAATACTCGATTGGATGGCGTCAAGATTTGAATTGTTCGATCGGATGCTAATTCATCATCGGTCATAACTGAGATTTTCGTTGATGTTATAGTTGTCTGTTCGACTGTTGACGGATTGCATTGTATACCTATCGAACGACAGCTGACACCGTTGAATAAAGGCATTGATCGGTGACCTGAAAAATCGAACGATTGAATTGAATGACATTGGAGAAATAGACTCACGTTTTCGATTGTCATAAGTGAGATGTTCATCGATACCGTCGTCGTCCTCATCGTTATCGTCAGCAGTATTCAACGGATGTCGTAGTTTTGCTTGTCGACGTCGGAGGATAGCTCGAGCGTTATTAAACCAAGTTGTCACTTGATCATATGTGATCGAGGACTGTTTAGCTAATTGAAGTTTTTCATGATTACTTGGATACGGATGACTGCGATGTTCCCGGAGCCATTTCTTTAGAAAAGCTAAATTTAGAGGGAAAAAACGTATTAAGTTTAAACGAGGAAAAGAATGCCACACTTGTTGGAAATTTTTCTCTGCTTGCTGAAAGTGCATTAATTAATGTATGATCGATCTGTGTGCCTAGATTGTCATCCTCAATTGGTGACGACTGTTCATGTTTAATATGTGTTTCTTCGTCTGAAAAGCAACAGTGAAAAATTCAAATTCAATTTGGAAGAAAGAAACAAACCAGAAATACTGTAACTGTTAGATATATTATCGGTATTGGGCTCTTCATGTTGGCTACCATCGTAATCTATCGATTCATCTCTGACACCAGTGACAAGATCCTTCGAAAACTTGACATTGTGGAGCGCTTCTAGACGAAACAGTGTGTGAAGTATTACAGATTTGTGTAGTTAACCGGTTACCTGATCTATCATCCAGGGACGAACTGCTATCAACTCTGGATGTGAGCCTTGCGCCGGAAGTGTTCATATTCGTGGCCATAGTCGGTGCTGTATTCGGTTTGCCATTAAGTTTAATGAAATGTTTCCGACATAGTTCGTTTCGTTGTGCAGCTATTAAACAGCCTGGAATTGAGCAAATCGTCCGCCAGACAACACCATCGAACTTCTTTCTTGAACCATTTTCCATTTCAATAATATCACCTTTGTTCGGATGTTCAATGTCGACTGATGGTGGAATAACAGCAATCGATAGACGACGATTCGGTTTGGGTACCGAGCTTTTACTGTGATTATCATATATTGGGACTTGTGATAAATTACCGGATAATGGAGAATTGGGGCGATGACGTTTGCGTGATGATGATGATAGCATCACAGACTGCTTCGGTGGAGTCGAGCTTTGGTTGAATAATTCTTGTTCAGTTTGAGGTATTGT